CACTTAGGACGGAAGAATCCCATGTACCGCTACAGGCTGGGGACCAACTGGCTAAGCAGCAGTTCTGCAGAAAAGGACCTGGGGATTACAGTGGACGAGAAGCTGGATATGAGTCAACAGTGTGCCCTTGTTGCCAAGAAGGCTAACGGCATATTGGGCTGCATTAGCAGGAGCATTACCAGCAGATCAAGGGAAGTGATTATTCTCCTCTTTTTGGCACTGGTGAGGCCACACTTGGAGTATGCATCCAATTTTCCCCCACTACAGAAAGGATGTGGACAAATTGGAGAGAGTCCAGTGGAGGGCAACGAAAATGATTAGGAGGCTGCGGCACATGACTTATGAGGAGAGACTGAGGGAACTGGGCTTATTTAGTCTGTTAAAAAGAAGAGTGAGTGAGGGGGATTTGATAACAGCCTTCAACTACCTGAAGTGGGGTTCCCAAGAGGATGGAGCTAGGCTGTTCTCAGTGGTAGTAGATGATAGAACAAGGAGTAATGGTCTCAAGTTGCAGTGGGGGAGGTTTAGGTTGGATATCAGGAAACACTATTTCACTAAGAGGGTGGTGAAGCACTGGAATGGGTTACCTAGGGAGGTGGTGGAATCTCCATCCTTAGAGGTTTTTAAGGCCCAGCTTGACAAAGCCCTGGCTGGGATGATTTGGTTGGGGTTGGTCCTGCTTTGAGCAGGGGGTTGGACTAGATGACCTCCTGAGGTCTCTTCCAACTCTAATCTACTATGATTCTGCGATTCTCTGTGTATGTGCTTAACTTGTTGTTGGTTAGTGGGGACTGTTTAAAAGCATTGTACTGTGTACATCGACTGGTAGATTCAATTTTATTACATTTCCAGTTTTCCTGTGTGCTCAGGTGCTGATTACCACAGAAATTATCACTATATTTTGTATTTCCTCTGTTTAAAAAAACCATGGTCTTCTTTTTATCAAGATTCTCAGCAGGAGTCTAGTACACAATTCCTTTTGTCGGCTGCCAAAAGCAACTAATGGCTGTAAAAAGTTGTATACTCTTCTGTTTTAATTGTTCTCAAACGAATCATTGCTTTCCAGTTCGGTTTGCTCATGCAGCAGTGTTCTGGGCTTGGAATGGGGATGGTTTTTCAAAGCCCTATAAAATATCTCCTTTGTAGCTGATGTTTTTATATTGGAAGACAAAACCATGAAATGATCTGTATTTGCCTGGACTGAAGAGCTTTTGTGGCTTAGAAATGCCGAGCTACTTCTCCAGTGGCTCCAGAGCTCCCTCATGATGCTATGCTGTTAATAATTGTAACTGTGTTACAGAATAATGCTTATCACTAGCATGTGTTCCCTGATTTAGGACAGATAGTAAGGCTTGGTCCACACTGCAAACTTATGTCGGTATAACTACTTCGCTCAGGGGTGTGGATTTTCCATGCCCCTGAGCAACGCAGTTGTATCAACCTAAACCCTGGTGCAACAGCGGTATGGGAGGGCTTCTCCCGCCACCTTAGCTACTGCCTCTCAGGGATGTGGAGTACCTGTGCCGACAGGAGAAGCTTTCCCATCAACATAGATAGCGTCTGCACTAAGCACTACAGTGGTGCAGCTGCAGCATTATAAGGCCTGGTCTACACTACAGAGTTAGGTTGACGCAAGGTGGCTTATGTCGACCTAATTTGTCAGTGTCTATGCTAGAATGCTGCTTCTACCGAAGTAAGTCCCCTGCTACACCAACATAATAACTCCATCTCTACAAGAGGCGTAGCACTTAATGTCAATGTAGATAGGGCAACGCAGTGTTCATGTAGACACTGCATTATTTACATCACCTGTTGGTTGTGAACCCCAAGTGAGGCTGACAGCTGGAGCCCTCCCTCCCCTTCCCTGGCGCTGACAGCCTACGCTGTCAGCCGGGCACCAGGTGAGCCCCGTGTCTGGCTGACAGCTCAGGCTGTCAGTGCTGGGGTGGCTGTCAGCAGCGGGGGGGCCCAGCTGTGGGACCCACGTGGTGTTGACACCTGAGGCTGTCAGCCCCAGAGCTGCCAGGCTCCAGCTATCAGTGTCCCTGGTGAGGACGCACACCGCTGACAGAAGGAGCAAGTGTGGATGTGAATTTAATTACTGTGGTGGCTGTACATCAACTTAACTTAAGTCGACTTAATTTTGTAGTGTAGACAAGCCCTAAGAGCGAGAGTTGTGAAATGGAAATTCTGCAAGGTGACGAGCTCCCTCCACTCCTGTTAGCTTCAGGCAATCTTGCAGGGTACAGCCCTTGATTTGGACTGGTTGTAAGAAATTAGAGGCAATATAAAAATTTGCTTTCTGATATATATAAGAAAATAATAAAATACAATGGATACTTTGCCAAAATCATGGAGCAGGTCCTCAAAGAATCAATCCTGAAGCACTTACATGAGAGGAAAGTGATCAGGAACAGTCAGCATGGATTCACCAAGGGAAGGTCATGCCTGACTAATCTAATCACCTTCTATGATGAGATTACTGGTTCTGTGGATGAAGGGAAAGCAGTGGATGTATTGTTTCTTGACTTTAGCAAAGCTTTTGACACGGTCTCCCACAGTATTCTTGTCAGCAAATTAAAGAAGTATGGGCTGGATGAATGCACTATAAGGTGGGTAGAAAGTTGGCTAGATTGTCAGGCTCAACGGGTAGTGATCAATGGCTCCATGTCTAGTTGGCAGCCGGTGTCAAGTGGAGTGCCCCAGGGGTCGGTCCTGGGGCCAGTTTTGTTCAATATCTTCATAAATGATCTGGAGGATGGTGTGGTTTGCACTCTCAGCAAATTTGCGGATGATACTAAACTGGGAGGAGTGGTAGATACGCTGGAGGGCAGGGATAGGATACAGAGGGACCTAGACAAATTGGAGGATTGGGCCAAAAGAAATCTGATGAGGTTCAACTAGGACAAGTGCAGGGTCCTGCACTTAGGACGGAAGAACCCAATGCACAGCTACAGACTAGGGACCGAATGGCTAGGCAGCAGTTCTGCGGAAAAGGACCTAGGGGTGACAGTGGACGAGAAGCTGGATATGAGTCAGCAGTGTGCCCTTGTTGCCAAGAAGGCCAATGGCATTTTGGGATGTATAAGTAGGGGCATAGCGAGCAGATCGAGGGACGTGATCGTTCCCCTCTATTCGACATTGGTGAGGCCTCATCTGGAGTACTGTGTCCAGTTTTGGGCCCCACACTACAAGAAGGATGTGGATAAATTGGAGAGAGTCCAGCGAAGGGCAACAAAAATGATTAGGGGTCTGGAATACATGACTTATGAGGAGAGGCTGAGGGAACTGGGATTGTTTAGTCTGCAGAAGAGAAGAATGAGGGGGGATTTGATAGCTGCTTTCAACTACCTGAGAGGTGGTTCCAGAGAGGATGGTTCTAGACTATTCTCAGTGGTAGAAGAGGACAGGACAAGGAGTAATGGTCTCAAGTTGCAGTGGGGGAGGTTTAGGTTGGATATTAGGAAAAACTTTTTCACTAGGAGGGTGGTGAAACACTGGAATGCGTTACCTAGGGAGGTGGTAGAATCTCCTTCCTTAGAAGTTTTTAAGGTCAGGCTTGACAAAGCCCTGGCTGGGATGATTTAATTGGGGATTGGTCCTGCTTTTGAGCAGGGGGTTGGACTAGATGACCTCCTGAGGTCCCTTCCAACCCTGATATTCTATGATTCTATATTACACCCAGTCCAAATCAAGGGCTCTAATCTTCAAGATTTTCTGAAGCCAACAGGAGTGGAGGGAACTCATCACCTTGCAGGATTGGGCACCTACTTTCCATGTATAGAATGGATACATCAGGCTGCTGTTTTCTGTGTTATCGCTGGTAAAGTAGGGTTTCAAAAAAGGGCATCGCAACATAAGCCAGTCACTCTGCATAACACTGCAGAGGCTATTCTAGAAATACCACTTTCAGAGGGCAGTACATCTGGGAGTGACAGCAAAGAAAACACTAAGCAGCTGATAGGAGTGATGGTCTGGTAATGTTGATCTGATTTCCCAGTGAATAGGCAGGTGACTATCTTTGTCTTTGGAGGCACCTAGCATGAATGGTGTACATAATTACTACCGCAAATATCTGAATACTGAAATTTTACCCTGGGCATCAGAGCCATCAGAACTACGTACTGGGAGAGCTGCGCAGAATGCACATACATCCCTTGCCTCACTTAAAATGGATTTTGCTGGGAAAACAAGAGGTTTGTGTTTGCAAGCTAGATAACTGAATGAAACTGAATGTTAATGTGCCCACAAAACCCAGTGCAGGGTGGGTGAAACAGAAGCGCACATGTCTTTCAGTTTTCCCCTTGTGCGCAGACCTCTGGAAGTTTAGTCCATTATTATTATTATTATTATTATTATTACTATTTGTATTACAGAAGTGCCTACAGTCCTAGATGCATTGGGAGCCTCACTGTGCTAGGCTCTGGACAAACACATAGGGAGATGCAGCTTCCCCCTAAGAGTTTACAGTCTAAATAGACAAAACAGACAAAGGGTTGGTGAGTAAACAGAGGCACAGGGAGGCAAAATGACTTGCAGAGTCTGGAATGGAACCCAGGTTTCTTTAGCCCCAGTCACTGAGTCACATTGCCTCTTGATGTGTTCTGTAGCCAAAACCATGCACTGGCTGCAATAAGCTCATTGCGAGAGGGTTTATTAAAGGTCTAAAAGCGGAATTACCAATCTCTGCTACATTTAAGGTTTTATTTTAAGGAAATGTCCATTGAGCCAAATCTGACTCTTGCCAGACTGAAATGGAAAAGTGGCAAAACAGGTCTCGGTGGTTGAGACTTATGGGCCTAATCATGTAGCCTTTAAGCCCAACGGTATAAGATCAGCCCTAACCTTGATATTAACAAGTATACAGGGGTAGTATTTCCACACCAATAAGTAATACATGTCTAACGACTGGGTTCAGTAAATCAGCTCCCACCTACTCTCCTCTCTTACCTTGTAGTTACTGATTTTATAGAATGGTTTGTTTTTGTTTCATTTCTTAGTGGGCTGTTTATCACCATTCATGACAAAGGCCATATTGCAACAATGCTAAACTCCTGGCCTGAAGAAGATATAAAGGTATGCTTGATTTCTTTTTATGGAGCTGAGAAAAGCTTGCAAATATTTTCCATTTCTCACAATAATCCGACAGAATTTGAAGCTTCCAAAAGGAAATGCAGCCTATCCCTCTGATCTCAAGTTTTGCATCGGAACAAACAAATCAAAGGAGAAGTATTTTGTTCTTCTGTAGGCTTTCTTTGCAATGATCTCAAAGTGGTTTCCATTCATTATTTAATTAAGATTCAAAGCACCCCTTTGAGTCTGATAAATATGTTTTTGCCAAGGAGGAAACTGGCACAGAGACGTTAAGTGACTCACCCAAGGTCACAAAGGACATTTGTGGCAAAGCTGGGAATAGAACTCAGAAATCCTGAGTCCTAATCCTGGGGTTCAGTCACAAGCCTGCCTTTCTCAACTACAGGCAAATGCCCTGTTCATTGAGCTTTGTTCATCAACAGCTGTACAACTAAGAATTTTACACTGGCTGCTCTATTGAGCTTATATCTATACAATTCCTTTTGTTCCGAAGCACTTTGAAAACTTGGGTCAGATTTCTCCTCTCCAATCCATACAGACTGTGCATAGTGGGTGCCACACCATCAGTCTGGCCTGGTGAATCTGTGATTCAAGAAATTGCCCACTATAATGGGCATACAGGATCGAAAGGAAAATTTGCATGCTTTGCTGGACGAGACAGGATCTGAGACTCTGGAAAATGATTTGGTTGGTTATTAGCAAGACAAGGTGGGTGTGGTAATATCTTTTATTGGACCAACTTTTGTTAGCATGAGAGATAAGCTTTCGAACTACACAGACCTCTTCTTTTGGGTCTGGGAAAGGTAGATACTCCAAGTGTCACAGCTAAATACAAGCTCAGACAGATAGTTTAGCACATAAAACTGTAATAAAGGGACCATATAAGGTGGATAGAAAGCTGGCTAGATTGTCAGACTCAGCGGGTAGTGATCAACAGCTTGATGTCTAGTTGGCAGCCGGTATCAAGCGGAGTGCCCCAGGGGTCGGTTCTGGGGCCGCTTTTGTTCAACATCTTTATTAATGATCTGGATGATGGGATGAATTGCACACTCAGCAAGTTCACAGATGACACTAAGCTGCAGGGAGAGGTAGATATGCTGGAGGGTAGGGATAGGGTCCAGAGTGACCTAGACAAATTGGAGGATTGGGCCAAAAGAAATCTGATGAGGTTCAACAAGGACAAGTGCAGAGTCCTGCACTTAGGAAGGAAGAACCCCATGCACCGTTACAGGCTGGGGACCCACTGGCTAAGCAGCAAGAAGGCCAACGGCGTATTGGGCTGGATTAGTAGGAGCATTGCCAGCAGATCAAGGGAAGTGATTATTCTCCTCTGTTCGGCACTGGTGAGGCCACACCTGGAGTATTTCATCCAGTTTCGGTCCCCCAACTACAGAAGGGATGTGGACAAATTGCAGAGAGTCCAGCAGAGGGCAACGAAAATGATTAGGGGGCTGGGGCACATGACTTATGAGGAGAGACAGGGAACTGGGCTTATTTAGTCTGCAGAAGAGAACAGTGAGGGGGGATTTGATAGCAGCCTTCAACTACCTGAAGCGGAGTTCCAAAGAGGATGGAGCTAGGCTGTCCTCAGTGGTGGCAGATGACAGAACAAGGAGCAATGGTCTCAAGTTGCAATGGGGGAGGTTTAGGTTGGATATTAGGAAAGACTATTTCACTAGGAGGGTGGTGAAGCACTGGAATGGGTTACCTAGGGAGGTGGTGGAATCTCCATCCTTAGAGGTTTTTAAGGCCTGGCGTGACAAAGCCCTGGCTGGGATGATTTAGTTGGTGTTGGTCCTGCTTTGAGCAGGGGCTTGGACTAGATGACCTCCTGAGGTCTCTTCCAACCCTAATATTCTGTGATTCTAAGTGACCAATTATAGGTCATAGGACAAAAAGGAGAGGGTTAGCGGGTTACACATTGTTGTAATAAGCCATAAATCCAGTGTCTCTGTTCAGTCCATGTTTTTTATTGTCTAGCAAAGTTATGAATTTAAGCTCCAGACTAACCTTTTGAAAGTGTTGTGCAGGTTTTCTTCGAGGATGAAGACTGAGAGGTCAGATATAGCGTGATCGCTTTGTGAAAAGTGTTCACCCACAGGTGATGTAGTGTTTTTTTCTTTTATCATTTCCTGTGTGAGTTTATTCAAGAGTGCAGTGATTGTTTTCACCCACGTAGTTGTTATTGGGGCATTTCGTGCACTGGATGAGGTACACCACATGTTGTGATGAGCAAATGCAGGTCCCAGGGATCTTGAAAGGGGTGTCGTGCAGGGTGTCGATCATTGTACAGTGGAGAAATGTCTGCAAGTTTTGCATCTGTTGTTCTTGCAGGGTCTGGTGCCGCTTTGAGTTGCTGTGTTCTGGTCTGTGGAGAGCTTGCTTCTGATGATGAACTTGAAGCAGCTGGGGAGTTGTTTGAATGCCAGGAGAGGGGGTGCAGGAAAGATTTCTTTCAGGATGGGTTCCTCATTGAGCATGGGTTGTAGTTGTTTGGTAAAACCCCATATGGGTTCCAGTGTGGGGGGCAGGTGACAACTAAGGGTGTGCATTTGGAGGGGGTTTTATTTCTGTATTGAAGCAGGTTCTCTTGGGATATTTGGGTGACCCGTTCCATGACGTGATCTACTTTGCTGGTGGAGTGTCCTTGTTTGGTGAAGGTGGTTTTGAGTATGTTAAAGTGTATATCCCACACTTTTCCCTCAGAGCATATTCTGTGGTATCTGAGCCTGGCTGTAAATAAAGATTTCTTGGTGTGTTTGGGGTGGTTACTGGATTTATGAGGTAGATGTGATGATCCGTGGGTTTCTTGTATACAGTTGTCTGTAGGGTTCCATTGTTGAAGCTGATCATGGTGGGAGTGTTCAAGAGAGTTTAATTCATGGGTAGTGGTTGAAGTTGTGGTGGAAATCTATGGTGGAGTTTAAGTCGTCCATCCACAGGATGAAAATATCATCATCTCAGGTATATCCTTGGTTTCATGGTGCATTTGATTAGTTATGACTTGCTTTTTAAACAACAATCTCTGCATAGAGAATTTCCATGGAATTTGCATTAGTTTCACCATAAATTTCCATCAAAGCATGAGTTCTTTGCTTTCCATATTCCCACATCTGCCATCTTCCAATCCCAGTTGTGTGCCTCGGGTGTGGTTAGGGCGGGAGTGCACACCAAAAACAGATGGAGCCCACCCAAAAAGAGCCTTTCCTAGCTCTGGCTAGTACTTAGTGTTGACTCACAAAGAAAAGTAAACAGGAAAATCTTCCCAAATGCAAGAAAATGAATGCACTGACTGCAGAGAAGTACATGTACTGGTTTCCCTTAGTGACTGGCTTGTTACTGCAATGGCTTTTTAAAAGCTTGATGGCATTCCCTGCTTAACCTCTGCAGTCTAGACGCATGGGCGGCCAGGGAGGCTCTTCTTGCTGCCCCTGCCCTGAGGGCCGGCTTTGCAGCTCCCATTGGCCGGGAACTGCGACCAATGGGAGCCGCAGGGGTGGCGCCTGTGTGCATGAAGCAGCGTGCGGAGCCTCCCTGGCTGTCCATGCGTCTAGGGGCTGCAGGGACCTGACGGCTGCTTCCTGGGAGCCGCAGTAAGTGCCTCCAGGACTCTGCACCCTGTCCCGCACCCCAACCTCCTGTCCCTGCCCAGAATCCCCTCCCGCACCCAAACTCCCTCATGGATCCCACACCCCACCCCAACACCCGAACACCCTACCCCAGCCCCCTCCCGCACCCCAAACCCCTGATCCCCAGCCCCACCTCAGAGCCCACACCCCCAGCCGGAGCCTGAACGCCCTCCTGCACTCCAAACCCCACATCCCCGGCTCAACCCCAGAGCCTGCACACCCAGCCAGAGTCCTCACGCCCCCACCCCCCCTCCGCACCCTAACCCCCTGCCCCAGTCCAGAGCCCTCTTCTGCACCCTGAACAACTCATTCCTGGCCCCACCTGGAGCCCGCATGCAGCCCAAGCCCACAACCCATACCCACCACTTTGCCCCAGCCCAGAGCCCTCTCCCGCACCCCAAACCCTTCATCCCCAGCCCCACCCCAGATCCCGCACCTCCAGCCAGAAGCCTCACCCCCCTTTCCGTACCCCAACCCCCTGCCCCAGCCCGGTGAAAGTGAGTGAGGGTGGGGAAGAGCGAGCGACAGAGGGAAGGGGGATGGCGTGAAGAGGGGCAGGGCCTTGGGGAAGGGGCGGGGCAGGTGGTGGGGCAGGAGTGTTTGGTTTTGTGAAATTAAAGAGTTGGCAACCCTAGCTGGCACCTACTCAGGGAATGTCACAAGAGCAACCACTGCGTACACCTCGTGATATCTTCAGAACGCCCAATATTACACAAAATGTACGACAGATTTTGGCAGGGAGACAAAACACAAATATATGCATGGATGCATTGTGCCAAACAAGCCATCTTTTTCTTTCCCCCGTCTCATGATTTTTCATGAGCCAATTCGGTGCCGTTCTGTTTTTTCCAGTTTAAAATTGCGGGTTAACTCGGGGGAGAAAAGAACTGCAAGATCCTTGGGAGATGTATATTGTGTGCATTGAATAACAGTGTCTGACTGTTTATCAGCAATGGAATTAAAGCCATATAGCACAAGTTTAAATCCTCCAATGGTATCTCCCTTTAATCATCAGAAATATGCTGAAAGAGAACATTCGAAAATCATTTTTTCTCCTGAACTAAAAGAGCTGATCATGTGGTTTATTCTTTCCCTGAGTTCACAAAGCCAGTTTGCCCTAGCAAATAGCCCTAGCCAATAAACCCATCTTTATTATCCCCCACCAAAGAAAGGCGATCTATTGAGATATTTTATAATCCTCCATTCTCTTATTTCTCCTAAAAGTGCATATGGGTTCCCTTTTGGCATTAACTCAGTGAATCAGTAAATAAATATAATTTCGCCATGGACTTCTCCTTCGATATCCAAGCCAGATTGTGCATTTAGGTCACCCTCAATCAAATAATCCACATGATCTGAATCTGAATGCTCTGTTCCCTGAAGCTCCTGGCCAGTTTTGGACGGTCTTGGCATTGTGTTAACTACTTTCCTCCTGCATTAAGGCAGAATTGCCATTTTGTCCTGTTCTTACTAGTTTTCGCCGCCACCCACACACACATACACAACAAGACTGGCAAAAATAGGAGCCTAATTAACCTCAGTGAGAGCTGTGATTGGGTCCTTGATACTCTTAACCTCAGGCTGGTGATTAAATTGCTTAACTTCAAGCTTCTAACTTTGAAAATCTTGGCCATGCTTTTTTTCTCCTGGTTGTCACAAAGAAACAAACAAAACCACCAGTCAAATAAACGTGTAAGTGCAGTAGGACATTCCCTCAGGGATCAACCTAAGTATTTGCTTGCCATTGTAGTGCTGAAAAGGGCAAAAGTTGGTAGGATGGGGAGTGTCCCCACTAACCACCTACACACATGTCAGGTACCAGTGTTACCTGACAGTTCGTTAACTCAGGCTCACGGCTAGTGTAGATGCCAATGCGTGGATGAGAGAAAAGACTAAAGTAAGGTTACGTCGATACTACATATGCTACAGAGGTACAACCACGGCACTGCACCTGTGCCTCTCTTGCACCACGGTGTAGACACTTGCTACAGCGATGAAAGGGGTTTTTCCGTCACAGCAGTTAATCCACCCCCTCAGGAGGCAGTATTAGGTCAATAGAACAATTCTTCTGTCGACCTACTGGCATTTATACTAGGGCCTGGGTCAGCTTCACTACATCTCTCAGGGCTGTGAATTTTTCACACCTCTGAGCAACATAGCTAGGTCAAGCTAGCCTAAGAGTGGAGAGAAGAAAAACATGATGAGAATAGTCTTGGGGTACTTGTGGCACCTTAGAGACTAACCAATTTATTTGAGCATGAGCTTTCGTGAGCTACAGCTCACTTCATCAGATGTATACCGTGGAAACTGCAGCAGACTTTATATACACACAGAGAATATGAAACAATACCTCCTCCCACCCCACTGTCCTGCTGGTAATAGCTTATCTAAAGTGATCATCAGGTGGGCCATTTCCAGCACATTACCAGCAGGACAGTGGGGTGGGAGGAGGTATTGTTTCATATTCTCTGTGTGTATATAAAGTCTGCTGCAGTTTCCACGGTATACATCTGATGAAGTGAGCTGTAGCTCACGAAAGCTCATGCTCAAATAAATTGGTTAGTCTCTAAGGTGCCACAAGTACTCCTTTTCTTTTTGCGAATACAGACTAACACGGCTGTTACTCTGAAACCAGTCTTGGGGTTATGGCACAGGAATGGGAGTCAGGAAAGCAGGTATCCATTACAAGCTTGCCATGACTTAAGGCATGTCACTTATGCCTCTCTCTCTACCTCAGTTTCCCCATCTGGAAAACAGCAACAATAATACTGACCAAGGTGTCAGGTCACAGGCCTGTGAGGCTTAATTTCTGAATACATACAAAGTGCTCTGAGATCCTTGGCTGAAAGGCACTACATGAGTGCCAAGTAGTCTCTCTATGAACTTGGCTGTCACCATTAGCGAAGAGGCTAATACCTGGGTCAGTTTGTGAAGGGAATAGTGATCAAAATACCTGGTATAGGGTTACAACTGAGATCTTATAGCACTGGCTGATGCAGAAAATGACATCTGCAAAGAGAGGCGATCGGAAGAGCTAAATCACACTGCTTTTTAATTAAACAAGTTTAAATCATTTTAATCCAGTCTCTCTCTTCCCATGTCTTCAAAATTGGCTCATTCCAAAGACTACTAGTGAAGGACCTGATAGGTGCATAAAATAGATAAAGGGGGGAGGGGGGGATTCTTCACTCCAAGAGTTACTAACTACCTAAGGCAGCAGTTCTCAAACTTTAGCAACCCAAGGACCCCCATTTTGCTTTAAAATTTGTCATGAACTCCCAAGCACCCTGCTCAGCTTCAGGCCCTGCCCCCACTCCACCCCTTCCCCCAAGGCCTCACCCCCACCCACTTCTTCCTGCCCCCACTCCATCCCTGCCCCTCCTCTTCCCCACGTTTTTCCACCCCCTCCCCTGAGCATGTCCCATCCCTGCTCCTCCCCCTCCCTCTCAGCGCTGCCTGAACGCTGCTGAACAGCTGTTCTGCTACGGACAGGAGGCATTGGGAGGGAGGGGGAGGAGTTGATCAGTGGGGCCAGTGGCCTTAGACATGATTCTGCTCCCTTCCCCAAGCGCACCCCATCCCCGCTCCTCCCTCTCTCTCAGGGCACCTCCTGCACCCCACTGAACAGCTGTTCCCCGGCATGCAGGAGGTGCTGGGAGGGAGGGGGAGGAGTTGAGGGAGGAGGGGAAGGAGTTGATCAGTGCGGCTGGTGGATGCCCCTGGAGTACCCTCGTGGACCCCCATTTGAGAAATGCTGACCTGAGGGCGTGTCTACACTTTGCTGCACCAGAGCAGGTGCGCCACTGTAGCACTTAGTGAAGACACAACCTATGCCAAAGAGAGAGCTTCTCCCGTCAGCACAGTATGCCACCGCCCGTCGACATAGCGCTGTCTACACTGCATAACTGCATCACTCAGGCGTGTGGGTTCTCCATACCGCGGAGTGACACAGTCAGACCAACATACGTTTGCAGGGCAGACCAGGGCTCAGAGTCCTTCACTGATGTTCTCCACCATGCTTTGCTGCCCTCCTAGCCCTCTCCCCATGGCTGACTTGCACTTTTGTGATAACTAGTAGTACAGTAACCTACGAAGGGAACAAACTTCCATCCCATACTGTGGCTACAAAACTGCATTGTTATAAAAATCTAGGGAGCTGGTTCTGCAAACAGTGTTAAATAAAGCATTGGCAACGCTGTATAATGGACGCTCTTCCTTATCTGCAGGCCATCGTGGTGACAGATGGAGAGCGAATTCTAGGCCTAGGAGATCTAGGAAGTTATGGCATGGGCATCCCAGTAGGGAAACTTGCCTTGTACACAGCCTGTGGTGGAGTGAACCCGCAACAGTGTCTGCCTGTCCTGCTTGATGTTGGCACAGACAACGAGGTAAGATTACCTGCTTATTCTGTGCATTTTAAAAACGAAAAGCTGTTTTATTTAAAGCTGGGTTCTTAACTCGGAGAATCAGTCCCTGAATTCGGAGCTAGAGTCAGAGACACCTAAGATAAGAAGACAGCTAACCCAACAGTGCACGGAAGTTGCCAGCTTGCACTCTTGCTCGTAGTATGAGATCAGATAAACACTGGCTGTCCTCATGTTCCACTGATGGGAAGGCGAAGCTGGAGCTGGGCCAGCAGGAGTTGAAGGGTCAGCTCCATCTTTCAGCATGATAAGGTGAGTTAAAAGATTTCAGCCATGCAGATACAGACTGACTTTTCCTGTGAAAAGCATAAGGAAACTGACACATCCCTGGGTGTGTTTGGAAGCGATTATATTTCAGCAAATGGAGAATCCCCACTGGGTGGTTTGGGCTTAATTAATGGCAGTGTTTTGTCAGATTGCACACTTTACTGCACACGATAACAGGACAGGAGGACTCCATCTGTTCACAGTTTTCTGCCTTATGACTCTGGCTCAGAAGGGCTGAAATGCAACACTTTACTGATGCCAGAAGAGACATCTGTGAGGATGTTTTTAAAATAAGTTCCTATAGATATTTGCTATGGCCAATGCTTGTCGAATATGCAAGAAACTATTTTAAAATGTACTTGCTTCTCATTTGACCATAAGCCATCTGAATATATGATTCTCAGCTGGCACGGCAAAACTGGTGAGATAAAACTTTCAAACTTGAAAGGCCGTCACCTCAATCGAAGCTTAGGCACCTTAATCAGCCACCTGATTTTTGTAGAGGTGCTCTGCACTCATGGGCTTCATTTGGAGTTGTGGGTTCTCAACACCTCTTTAGATGTGGGGCCCAGTGTTTCAGATTGGGCCGCCCAAAAACTGAGGAAGCCAAATTAGAGGCCATTATGGAAAATTCGGGTCTTAGGCCTGGTCTACATTGGGGGGGGGGGGTGTCGATCTAAGATACGCAACTTCAGCTACGAGAATAGACTTAGAATCACTTACTTCGCATCCTCACGGCGCAGGATCGACAGCCGCCGCTCCCCCGTCGACTCCGCTTCTGCCTCTCGCCATTGTGGAGTTCCGGAGTCGACAGCAGAGCAATCGGGGATCGATTTATCGCATCTACACTAGCCGCGATAAATCGATCCCCGATAGATCGATCACTACTAGCCTATCCGGCGGGTAGTGTAGACGTGACCTAAATGACATCCCCGTGCCAGCAGTGGAACGGGACTAAGTGTCATCAGACAGGTAATTTACCCATCCTGCTCCAAAAAGCCCATTTGGTTGGCGTTCATTAAAAGTCAGGTTGTCGGTCTCCATTGTATCTCCAAGGTAGCTCCAGTCTCATGTTGCCAGTTCTGGCTAGACCATTCATCCCAACCCTTATGTGACTCGCATACCGTCCCTTCGTTACTTATCCCCTGCCCCAGGAAAGACATTCACCCCTTCCAACCTAGGGGGTAGCAATACTAAAGTGAGAGGGAAACTGAATCACAAATGCTTGTCATAAATGTAACGCAGCTCTTCCCCATGTTCTCCACACTGGTACTCAGGAGTTCCTGGCTTTCAGGTCTATGCTCAAACCACAAGGCTATCCCACTCACATGAAAAAATTAATAAATTAACATTTTAAATGACTTGCCTCTTTCTGTGTTTAGTGCATAACGATGCATTGAGAAGCACTTCCTTGCCATCTTGCTGGTACTGCAGCGCATACAGATCAAACTTTTCAAATTAATTTCAGGGAGATTTGTGGTGGTGGCTGGGCCAAATTGGAGTGAGTGGCATTGCAATCTGGCCCACGGGGTCCTGCACATTCAGGTTTGGCCTGGCTAAACATGGTCGGGCCATGGCTCAGGTCTGCCTCCCAATGCCAGCTCCACAGCCTATGCTGATGCGCACCCAGGGCTGACGTGTATGATTCTAGGTAATGTAGCTGAGTTTTTGAATTTGGCATAAATGGATGGTTTTTGTTGTTTTTATGCAGGAGATAACATTACTAAATCAGAAGTTTCCCACAACTACTGGGAGACGTGGTCAGTGTGTTACAGAGTACTTCCATGTACTGCTTGGGCAACTCAGCCTGTGGCTTTCAGAACTTGGAATCGCCCAGGTAGCTCACTTTAAAGAACCAGCAACATGCCATTGACCACTTAAAAATGTATTCAAGTGCTATATAGTAATGGGAACGTGTGTCTCCTCTTTCAAGAACCATGGCATAGAAGAGCAGACCTAAGCAAAATCAATGGAAAACCCCTTTCATATTCCCCGCTAAAGGAAAAACAGCTGGGTTTCTGTGGCTCTGGAAACAGATTTCGTTTTAGCATACCTGCCAACAGTTAAGGTTTGCAAAGCTACAGGACAATAGGGGTTTGGTAGGATGCGCCCCTCTGACAGCCATGATTCGGTTCCTGAGGCCAGGGCGGAAGTGGGATCTCTTTCTGATGACTCACTGAGACCTTCAAAACATCCTGCTAGGTGGCCCATCTGTCTCCTGCTACTGCTATTTCTGTCACATTCTCCCGGATGTTATTTCTTTCCATGCTGAATCACCACTTTTGGAGGCAACAGCTTCTTATCAGCCTTAGATAGGATGCTGGTCCCTGTTCAGCACTTGTGGGGTTGATTGGAAAAACAGTTTTTTGAATGTATGGAGTTGTGTCCAATATCTGCAAAAGGCTTTTAGAAATAGAAATCTGAGTCTGAAGTTAGAAAATGGCAGCAAACTCAAGGAGACGAGCAAACACATACAGGTGAAGTTGAGGACTAGATGGTTCAGGAGATCACTGGTTCAAATCCAGCTCAGGTTAATACAGTAGAAAGCTTGTTAGCATCTGGTGGCTTAGATGAAATGGATTGATGGCCTCATTAGTTCCTAATGGAGAGGAGTCCATGTTGCAAAAATCATGACTGTCCCTAGTGAACCCCACATGGGCAGTCTCGGGTAAGAACCCAGGAACTGAATGAGCAATGGACACTGAACTACCTACAAGCTAGGCCTTACAGGGCAAGAGTGAAACATTTCAGGAAGGTGGCATAAGGAAGCACTGTCACTGCATGAGCTCTCCTGGTCCTGTGGAGAGAGGACTCCGCTTCCCAGGGTTGTCCAGCAAGCACTCAATTCCTATGATTGTATTTCCACAATGAGACGCTCCTTGGTGTGGGTTTATTTATCATGAACTAAAGCTGGTGTTCAGGAAGGGATTTGTGTTTGCATCATGCCCAGGAACTGGACAGCCCGCCATGTTTTGTTGCTTAGCGATAATGATTGAAGCGGACATAAATGTGAGACACGTACATTTTGTATGTAAATCTCTGTTCGGCAGAGAAGCAGGTGCCATAAACAGATTGCTTTGTGTCTTAGGCTCTCCTGAATGATCCACTCTATATTGGACTGAAACACAAGCGGGTCCGTGGGAAACAATACGATGAACTGATTGATGAGTTTATGCAAGCAGTCACTAACAAGTAAGTGGGGCTTTGTGTGAGTCTCCTCTTAGCTGCTTCCATTTAAAAGATGTTAAAACACTCAAAGTAAACACTAGTTTAATTGATAGCTAAGCAAAGAAAATCCATTAATGCAAACCCCATGGGTGGTCTGGAAATGACCCTGACTGAGTGCTCGAACACTCCATGTCAAAATTATTTATGTCTTTAGAGAGTTGAGAGGGGACTGACTATTTATAACCATTTCCTGTCCATACATTAAGCTAAAGGTGTCAAATGGGCCCTGTGGGCTGTATCCGGCCTCCATGGTGTATTTACGTGAACTACATAGCAGATTCGCAATCTCAGCATCCTTTTTGTTTTTTGTTGGGTTTTTTTTGTTAAGGGTCTAGCTATCATGGTTGTGAAGTAAACCTTCTAAAAGTAAACAGGGTGTAATTCAATGTGGGGCTGTCTGCCTGAATCTGCAAGCAGCCTGTAAATGACTTACTCTGAGAGGTGTGAGCTTCCCTGCCTGCCAGTAACCACATCAGTGTTAACCCTGAAGACACTATAAATATAAGCATCAACTATCATACTGTTTATTTTAGCTGTGGAACAGGGAAGGTGTTAGGAGTGAATTCCCTGGCTAAAGAATGTGGAATTGGAAGGGAAAGAAGAACAGAGAAATGAAAAGAGAAGAGACACACTAACCAGAAGGAAAGATGGTCCAGTGATTAGTGTGCTAGCTCTGGGCCTGGAGACATTATCCTGTCATCCCAGCCTGATCTGACGAGGGGTCGGTGTGTTCTTGTACCATCTCATTGGAATGCGTTTACCAAGTTACTTGAGAGATCTGTGTTGTTTTGTACCATCCTCTGCAGTCAGGAATGTGCTTACTTGGTGTTAGCTAATACCGAGTGTGGTGTTGTTTTGCCAAGGCCAGGCCTACTCTGGTTCACAGCCTTTGGTTCACACTGTTTGTTATGCCTAGTGCTACAGCAAGGCCTACACTATATACAGGCCATACTCGCACCTTATCTTGATCTTCACCCAAATCTTCCATTAGCATCAGTGGGAAATCCACTGTGAACTGGGGGAGTGTGGGTTTCTCTGTTTATACCCCAACTCATGGACCATCATTCAAAATGGAGGTAAGCCCTCTCCATTGAATGAGTTTGATACATAGGCATGAAGCCCAGTCCTGTAGCTCTCACTCATTTCCCCCTGCAATCACTGGGACTGCTCACAAGAGTAAGGACTGTGGGACTGGACCCTAAATCTATAGATATGGGCCCGAACCTGCACACCAGACCAAAAAAACCTCTGCAGTTCAGGTCCAGATTGGAGCTTTACACCTGGCACTCCAAAATCTCCTATCTGCTTGCCCTGAGCTTTGGGGAATTTGGATTCAGATTTTGCAGATTGGGCTGATCTCTGCTGGACTCTCATCCTTCCAGTAGATTCAAGGTCAATCACAACCACTCCACCTTTCTTTATGGCTAGTTGGGAGGGAGGGGATGGCAATCCCGAATAGTATTCTGTTGTAACACAGGGTTATGCTATGAAAAAAGCTGAGAACCATTGCTCATGGCTATTGGTTACGTGCTTTGCAGTGCATTCTTGTGCCCAAGTGGGGAAGGTGAAAGTACATGACAATCCCCTCGACTCACTGAAGGGGATATTGGAAGGAAGAGAGAGAAAACAGCAATTTAAAACAGACTGGAAAAGCCCTAACCTCTTGAGCATCATTTTCTGCCTCTGCTAAAGTAACAGATGACGTTAATCAGGGACTGCAGAGTGCTGCAGCGCACTCCTACCCACCTGATTTATGAGGTGCTTCATGTTTGCTTGTCTTCCCTCCACACTGTTGTTGTTTCAGGTCTTTGCATTTAAAGGCATCCCGTCAGTTACATGAATTAGGTCTCCCCCCTTCCCTCTGTCTCAGCAGGCTGTTTCTGCGTGCACTGCTGCGAACTGTCGGGTTATGTCTTAGGTCTGGAGGGTTCTAAGGGCAACACCTACCCAAAAAAATGACCAGCGCCCTTCCCCCATGCCCAAATGAGTTGGGAGGAGCAGTAAGGAGGGAAATGGTGAGGACTTTAGCAGCTGTAGGTCCTGGAGGAGCTGACTGCTTTAGAGACAGTGTCAGTGCAACCCTCCGTTTTTGTGACTGGCCCTTGGTCCAGTGGAATTGGGTACCAGACTGAGAGAACTGGGGTGAAATCCTGGCCCCATTGAGTTAATGGGAGTTTTGTTATTTACTTCAGTGGAGCCCGGACTTCACCCAAGGTTCCCGTTCCCAGTTCTGCTACTGACTCACTGTGTGACCTTAGGCCAGGCCCTTCACCTCTTCTGGGCTGCAGATTCCCCATCTGCAACGTGGGCTAATAATTATGTAAGCAGTGTCAGGATGAGCTCCACCCTGACATCTGGTGGTGAGGTGTGGCAAGTTGTGGAAAAGAACTTCAGGGGCCGATCTCATTTGCATAGGCACACCCACCCCACCTAGAATGAGACCATAGCTGCCCAAATGGTCACTTTGGCTGCTGTGGGGGTCCCCAGTGTCTCTGTTATTGGGGCAGGAAGAATAAATTGTTATTACCCTGATTATGGGAACTGTGCTTGGAACTGTACGTGGCCTTTTGTTATGATGGAGGGATTCACCATCAACTAAGTAGCACTCGCTAGGCAAGGGTCATGGGTTCCAAAACTGTGTGAATGGAGAGAGGCTGGGGACAAGTATTAATACTTGGTGGCATGGGCCCCTTGGTGAGGGCCTTACATGCTAATTGCACTTCCTCCTCTCTCCACTGTGGAATATCAGAGCTAATTTTGATTTCATTAGAAGTTTAGTTATAGGCTGCTGAGCTCACTTTGGGCTGACAGTGCACCAGCACTGGGGCTTCCCTACTACAAGCTGAATTCACCTAAGAGCTGAAATCACTGAGTGTTGTGTTAAGTAGTGGGGGAGCCTGAAGATATATTGTGGAGCAGTTTGATGCGGAGCAGTGTGTGGATGGCAGAAGCGGCTTGTGGGCCGTGGAGCTGAGTGAAGGAGTTCGTGGAGCGGCTGGCGGAGCAGAGCGCAGCTGAGTGAAGGAGTTCGTGGGGCGGCTGGCAGAGTGGAACGGAGCGAAGGAGTTCATGGGGCGGCTGGCGGAGCGGAGTGCAGCTGAGCGAAGGAGTTTGTGGGGCGGCTGGCGGAGCGGAGTGCCGCTATGGAGCTATGGGGCAGTCAGCTTCAGATCACGTAAGGTGCCTCTTACCCCCGTCCCATTTCCACCCAGGTGGGGAGGTAAAGCTCCGCAGATAAACTTTCGAACTCTGGGGCTGCCCTGACCAGGGACAGAGACTTTTGGGGCATTGGACTTTTGGGACTTTGGGTGATTTGGGGTTGCTGGACTCAAGAACCAAAGGGAAAAGGGCATGCCCCAATTTGCCTGGGGTGGGTTCTTTTTTTTTGCTCATGGGTTGTGTTATGAATCCTGTTGGTGGTGTTTCCCCAACATAATGCCGCATTGTTTCTCTCTGTTATTAAAAGGCTTTTGCTACGCTCAGACTATGTGCTTGCGAGAGGGGGAAGTATTGCCTCTTGGAGGCGCCCAGCGGGGGTGGTATATATTTGTCCCAGGTCACTGGGTGGGGGCTCGAGCCGGTTTGCATTGTGTTATTGGAATGGAACCCCTAGATATTGAACCCGGCCCTTGTTGCTGCCAACTCTGACGGGCAGAAGGGTTACATTTTTGGGGGCTCGTCCGGGATCGCCTGGGTCAGTACCCCTCGCAAGCACCTGTTGAGTGATCCACTACATTGGGAAACAATTTATATTTTTTTTTGTTTGTGCTTATATTTTGAGGAAATTACTGTTTGTATAATGGCTATTATGTCAGGTTTGTTGGGCCCTGGCTCAGCAGCTTCTAGCTCAGAGGCTGCAGCCTCGGCTGATGATTGGACAAAAGCTCTGGGGCAAATATTGGAAAAGGTTGTGCTGCCCCATGCTGAGTCAGACTCTTGTCGTAAGTTAAGATTATTTGCTGGGGAGGAGGAGTTTGAACCCTGGTTAGAGCATACCACTGAAATGCTGCAAGAGTGGGCCGTACCAGATGCAGAAAAGCGAAGATGCCTTATAGAGAGCCTTGGCGGCCCAGCATTAGATGTGATTCGCACCCTGAAGCTCATTGACCCTGGGGTCAGTGTGAAGGACTGCCTAGAGGCCCTTGAACACAACTTTGGGAGCGTAGAGGGCCCTGAAGACAGCTACTGTAAGTTCCTTAATTCCCGACAACAAAAGGGCGAGAAGGCTTCAGCCTACATACAGAGACTGCTTCAGAGAGCTGTCATGAGGGGAGCAGTGACTGCTGAGCAGATGGATCAGACCAGACTGGCTCAAATTGTAAGAGGAACTCAGTATCAGAACCCGATTCTACTTCATCTCCAGCTAAGAGAACGACGGGAACATCCCCCAAGTTACTCCCAGCTGATAAAAGAGGTCCGAGAGGAGGAAGAAAGGCAGGCTGCCAGTGAGTTTTGGGAAGCCCAAACATCGGATCCAGCCAGCACAACACCACTGCAAACGGCCAGTGTACTGATGGTGAGCACCAGAGAGGAACTTGCCCAACAAATGCAGGTCCTGACGGAACGGATAGCTGAGCTGCAAAGTACCGTTGACCGAGTTAAGACTTCCAGGAATAAGAAGCCTCAAACTGTGGCGATTGAGAAGCCCGCACTTAGAGCCACCATCCCCCCCCCAGGCGAAGGGGGAAAGGTCAATTCTTCTGCTACCGATGTGGTCAGGATGGACACAGTGCTGCCAAGTGCCGTAATGAAGAAAACCCCTCCTTAGTGTATGGAAAGCTGAGGATCAGTTGGGAGAGATCCGGTAGCTGCCAAAGGGTCTGGGGACGGGGACCCCCAGGTCTGCAGGATTTGAAAATTCCCCCAGAAAAGACTGTCCAGCTGGGATCCCTGCAGGACTGATAGGGCCTCGAGCAGAGGTCAAGGTGAGGATCGAAGGGGTGGAGTGTAAAGCAGTGCTTGAC